GCATTAACAGATTCCCTTTGATGTGTATTCCGTCTTTCCCTCATAACTCTGTGTCTCACTGTGTCTTCTGGGGCTTATGAGGCCACCTCTGGGTCTGTGTTATAGCGGACGTGGTGAAGTATACAGCCCTGTGCAGAGAATGTTGGAAGATGAGACATATGATGTTTAGCAAGACTGTCATCCTCAGGGGACGCTTGTAAACACAAACATCAAGGGACTTTATAAACACCCTGTGCGGTGCCAGATGTTTACATTGTGGGTTAACGTGAGACTTGTCTCTGGCGTTATTCCCCTCCTCCTCCTCCTCCTCCTCCTCCTCCTCATTTTCCTTTCTCTTCCTTCTCTTCCTCTTTCTCTTCCTCCTCTTCCTCCTTTTCCTCTCCCTCCTTTCCCAGACGACTCCCCATTCTCCTCCATCTCCCTTATCCTCCCTTATTCCATCCCTATGTCCTTCCTGATCCCCCTCCCTCACCTGGCTGCCTAGATACGGCTTACGTTGTCATTGTATATCGCGAGTTTTATCTTATCTCTCTCTCTCTCTCTCCGGGTTTTCGCAGGCCAGGCCTCTTTTGTGCTTGATGGCCACGTCAGCGATAGCATTGTCTTGCCCAGTGTGTGTGTGTGTGAGAGAGAGAGAGAGAGAGAGAGGGGATTAAATCTCACCTCCACCGTAAATTTGGTTTCATAACAAGTCCCAATATCCTGCAGGCGAGGCTGCTGTATAGGTGGGAAATCGTCGAGGCGTCTTTTCCAGGAAGGCTGTACACCCATCCTGACGAAGGCCACGGGGGATAGGTGTTGCTCACAGCTACGGGCGGGGTGGCGTGAGGTGGGGTAGGGTGGGGATGGGTGTGGTGGGGTGGGGTGGGGTGTTGGTCCTCTCCTTGCTGTTAGTCGCTGGTCGATCGGTGACACTTACCAAGGGGAGACACCTATTCTTGAAGAGTCTTTAAAGGGGAAGATTTTTCATTTCCTTTAACTGGGACTAAGTGAACGTGTCTGGTGAAGGTGGAGTTTTATGTGTAGTGGTGATGGTGTTTTGAGGGGTTTTTGTGGGTGTTAGGGCTCTCTCTCTCTCTCTCTCTCAGTGGGGTGAGGGAGGGTTGCTTACAGAGGAGACGCACAACAACTAGTCAGGAAACCATCGGTCAGTCTCACAGGTTAAATGGCTCCCAGTCTAGTGCTCTGTGCCCTGTCCAGGATAGCTATTGTACGATGGGGGCGGGGTAGGGGGGGCTAAGGGTAGTGGGATAGGGGATGGAGAGGAGGGGGTGGAGGTGGTGGATAAGTGGTAGTGGGTAGGGGATAGAGAGGGGTGGGTAGTGGGAAGGTAGGTGGCTGGGTAGGGAATAGGGGAAGGTAAATAGAGAGATGAAGTGTTAATAAGCTGAGGGGTGGGGGAGGTGGGAAGGGAAGGTGACTAGAAGGATGTGGTTAGTGGAGGTGGATGGATGGTGGGTAGGGGAGGGACTGGGAGGTAGGTAGGGGTTAGGGAAGGGTGTGGGAGGTATAGATTGAACCCTTTGTTTATGCCGGAGTAAACATAAAGATGAAATGGCCTGTCCAGATAATTGTTGTTTCGGATCACCTCACGATTAACCCCACTAGCTTGTTTCACCTTAACCTAACCCAACCTGACCAACAAAACCAACCCCACTAGCTCACCTAACCCACCTGCCTAACCCAACACCAACCAACCCACTACTTGTTTCACCCAACCCAACCTACCTACCTAACTAACCCACTAGCTTGTTTCACCTTAACCTAACCCAACCTGACCTAACCTAACCTCACCACCAACCAAACCTCTTGAATTTTGGCTGTGAGGAGAGACTTTGCCAGGGTGTGTTGTCTTACGGGGGTATACTGTTTGCTGTTTCCTCTCGGCCCTCTCGTCATCACTGGCCAGGCGTAGAACAGCTGGTCGTGCGGCTCATCAATTGTCGCTCCTGCGTCCATTTCTCCCCGTAGTTCAATTCTTAAAACACGTTTTTTTTTATCCTCTTCCACAAATCGTTTTTTTTTTTTCCTTCCTCAAGAAAAGTATTAAGAATTTTTCTCAATATACAATTTCTCTTTATTTCATCTCCACCCCCTACCTCTGCCCCCCCCCCCCACCCCACCCCACCCCCACCTTCACCTCCCACCTCCATACCCCACACCCCACCCCAGTCCACCTCCACTCCCTACCCCCCACCCTCACCTCCAGTCCCCCACCCTCACCCCACCCCTCCATATACCCCCCACACCCCACCCCACCACCCCCACTCCTACCCCCCACCCCTCACTCCCACCCCTCTACCTTCACTCTCCTACCCCTCCATATCCCCCACACTCCCACTCCCCCCATCCCCACTCCCACTCCCCCCACTCCCCACTCCTACCCCCTCCACACCCCCACACTCCCACCCCTGTCTACCTCCACTCCCACCCCCTCCCACCCCCACTCCCACCCCTCACTCCCACCCCCTACCCCCACCCTACCCCCCACCCCCACTCCTACCCTCTACCCCCACCCTACCCCCTCTACCCCCACTCCCACCCCCACCCCCACTCCTACCCCCCACCCCACTCCTACCCCGTCTACCCCCACTCCCACCCCTCTACTCCCCCACTCCTACTCTCACCACCTCACCCTCCCACTTCTACCCCTCTACCCTCATGGCGTGAATGAATGTCCACAATGTAATCAGTCAACCAGAAAGATTATTTCAAGAATTTCTTTTTGCCTTAATGAAAATATAAGAAGTGTATTGTGCATTCTGTACAGAGAGAGAGAGAGAGAGAGAGAGAGAGAGAGAGGGAGAGAGAGAGAGAGAGAGAGAGAGAATTTACTTTATTTTGTATAATTTTGTATTTTGTTTTTTATTGTGTATTTCATTACAGTATTACTTTTTGAAATTTAATTTTTATTTTTTTTTTATTTTTGTGTTATTGTTGTTGTCTTGGGATCACGTCTTTTCCTGTCACACCTTTCTGGCATATCTTTCACCTTTGTCATCTTTCTGTCATATCTTTCCCCCTGTCACACCTTTCTGTCATATCTTTCTCCTGCACATCTTTCTTGTCCTTATCTTTCCCCTGTCACATCTTTTCTGTCATACCTTTCTCCCTGTCACACCTTTCTGTCACATCTTTCTGTCACATCTTTCTCCCTGTCACACCTCTCTGTCATATCTCCCCTATCACATATATCTCTCTCTCAATTCTCATCACACTATGCCATCTTTCTCATCACTTTTCACACCTCAGTAAACACCTTTCAAAATTAATTAAAATTACACAAAAAAGATAAAAAAAAAGAATTGATTAAGACGTGTCCTTTCTTAACTTACTTCTCGTTAATGGAGTCCTAACCCTTTTAAATCTTTTCCATTCCTCCTATTCTGAATGTTTTCTTCCGTGTGTGTGTGTGTGTGTGTGTGTGTGTGTGTGTGTGTGTGTGTGTGTGTGTGTCGTCTTCCTAAAGTCGATGCTCTGATAGTGAGTTGGTAAGGCGCTGATGATGTGGTGTGACGCAGGGTATGACACTTCAGTAAAATCATCATGCAGGTTTACATTTGGTTCAGCAGTGTACAAAAGGCTATGCAGGTATACAGTTCAGAATATAAGACAATACAGGTATACAGTGTATAGACCATAAGGGTATACAGTTTCCAGAGAGTGCAGGTATACAACGGTAAACAGTAAGGCATTATCTGTTGTTTCTTACTGAGAAGTAGAGAACCACAACAGGTAGAACAAAACAGTGATACCAACAGCTTGTGGAGAGAGCTTGTATATGTTTAAAAAAATAATAGCTCTTTTGTTTATTCCTCACTTAATAATATATAATGACAGGATAAATATATAGAACTTTGGGGAATTTATAGTTTTTTATTTATTTTTATTTATTTATTTATTTTTACTTTTTTTACCCTTTAATGTTTGTGTCTCTTCAGCTTAGTCAGGGCATTAGCACACACACACACACACACACACACACACACACACACACACACACACACACACACACACACACACACACACATACACACACATACACACATGCCTGGTACACGGTGATGGTTCTGAATATGCATGAAGCTATGACAGTTCAGTGGACTTGTGTGTGTATGTATGTATGTATGTATGTATGTATGTATGTAAAAACCCCTTAACGACATTGTCTTAACCTCCTGAGCACAACGTCATCGTACTCAGTGGATAACGTTGTTGTACTCAAGAGGTTAAGACATCTTACTCAAGGGATAAAGTTATTGTACTCGGGGTTTTAAGTCAATCGTAATTCAAATGATTACCCTATTGTACTCAACGAAATAAACCATTGTACTCAAAGTATTGAGCGATTAAGCCATTGTACTCAGGTAATTAAGCTATCTCACTCACGAGGATAATCCATTGTACTCGAGGTTATTATCGTACTCAAGGAATTAAACTGGGATTGTAAAGTACAGAGTGTGTGTAATGTAGGAACATACCAACACCGGCCCCAAGCCTCTACCATACATGACGTAAACATCTGAGGGGGGTAGGGGGAAGGAAGGGGAGGGAAGCTGAGGGGTAGGGGAGGGAGGGAGGGAGGGGAGGGAAGATGAGGGGTGGGGGGAGGAAGGAAGGGAGGGTAGGTGTCTCTCACCTCTAGCTAATTCCTCTAATGAGATTATGGATAAGAAATAATAACTTAGATGTATATTACAGGTGTGTTATGGCGTTCAGGTGTGTTATGGCACGCAGGTGTGTTATGATATACAGGTGTGTCATAACGTTCAGGTGTGTTATGGCGTGCAGGTGTGTTATGATATACAGGTGTGTCATAACGTTCAGGTGTGTTATGGCGTGCAGGTGTGTTATGATATACAGGTGTGTTATGATGTACAGGTGTGTTATGGCACGCAGGTGTGTTATGATATACAGGTGTGTCATAACGTCCAGGTGTGTTATGATGTACAGGTGTATTAGAACTTACAGGTGTATAATGGCACGTCTCCCTCCTACAGGTTAAAGCTCACCTTCGCCTGTATGATGGAACTCTCCCGCTTCCCTCTAGACGTACAGGTCTGCACCATGGAGATAGGTTCATGTGAGTACTAGTCCTCTGTTCATGTGAGTACTAGCTGATTAAAGCTGTCCTTATTTGAGCTTAAGGTGATTAAAACAGTCCTTATTTGAGCTCAAGCTGATTAAAACTGTCCTTATTTGAGCTTAAAGTAATTGAAACTGTCCTTATTTGAGCTTAAACTGCTTAAAACAGTCCTTATTTGAGCTCAAGCTGATTAAAACTGCCCTTATTTGAGCTCAAGCTGATTAAAACTGTTCTTATTTGAGCTTAAACTGCTTAAAACTGTTCCTATTTAATATTAAGCTGATTAAAACTGTCCTTATTTAAGCTTAGGCTGATTAAAACTGCCCTAATTTAAGCTTAAGCTGATTAAACTGTCCTTATTTAATATTAAGCTGTTTAAAACTGTCTTTATTTAAAAAAAATGTAAAGTGTCCTTATTTTAACTTTACTGGTTAAAGATGCACACACACACACACACACACACACACACACACACACACACACACACACACACACACACACACACACACACACACACACACACACACACACACACACACACCTAACCTCTTCTACCCCCCTCCGACAGTCTCCAAGACGACCCAGGAGCTGAACTTGTCGTGGAAGGAGGGCGACCCCATCAAGATCTACCGCGGGCTGAAGATGCCACAGTTTAACATCATCGACAACCAGACCGACCGCTGCCATGAGGACTTCCAGATTGGTGAGTAACCTTGGTGACTGGTGCTACAGGTGAGTGGTGTTGTAGGTGAGTGGTGATGTAGGTGAGTGGTGATGTAGGAGACTGGTGATGTAAGTGAGTGGTGAGTGATGGTGTAGATGAGTGGTGATTGGTGGTGGTGGTGGTGGTGGTGATGTAGAAGACTGGTGTTGTAGCTGAATGGTGAATGTTGGTGGTGGTTAGTGGTGGGTGGTGGTAAAGTGGTGGTGGTACAGGTAGAAGGTATTGTCGGCAAACAGAAACAGGCAAGCAGGTAATGCTCATTAGCCACCAGGATAGACCACCATAGTCAGGAGAAGTAACCACCCACTCAACTACCACTACTACCACCACCACTCTCCACCACATCACCACCTTTAAATCTCAACCACCACCACCACAACAACAATCTCCACTACCACCACAACAATCTTTACCACCACTACCACCACCATTACCCCAGACCCTAGACATAACACAGATAAAAGACACACGTGCAATATCTCCCTTCCCCCCCCTACTCCTCCCACCCACCCTCCCACCCCTACCTCCACCCCACCCCCTCCCCCCCACCCCTCCCCCCCTCCACCCCCACCCCCACCCCCCCTCCACCCCTACCCCTCCCACCCCCTCCCCCCTCCCACCCCCTACCCCTCCACCCCTACCCCTCCCACCCCCTCCCCCTCCCACCCCCTACCCCTCCACCTACCCCTCCCACCCCTACCCCCCCCCACCCCCTACCCCTATCCTTCGTGTGGCCTTAATTGAAACCTGACACTTACCTGGGCAGGACACAAGAGCCAGTCTCACCTGCTCTCCTCCTCCTCCTCACCTGTTTGTTGTGACCCCTCAAGTTGTTTTGTTGACGGTTGTTATTTACAAATTGAGGTCAGATGTCTTTTGTTATTTTGGGTCTGTGTTTTGTTGTGTTTTTTGTTAATTACATATTATTCGTAGACTACTTACCTATTTCTTACCTATTAATTATCGTCTTGTGTGAGGTGCAAGTATGTGAGGTTAAACAGTGCGTGATACCTGGGTGGGCTCTGTCTTCCTGCAGGTATTGGCAACGCTTCCACCTGTACCTATACTGACTCTAATCTGGTAACAGTGTAACTCGCTACGCATACACATCACCAGCTACACACACACCACACACCTTAGGTACACTCGCCTCCAGGCACATACACAAACTAGGTACTGTACACATATCACGAAGTACACACACAACTAGGTACACACACACACACACCAGGTACACATAGTACCCTCGTCACAGGTGTGATTAACAGACAGGTCTTATTGTGGATGTGGAATACAGTGTGTGTGTGTGTTGTGTGTGTGTGTGTGTGTGTGTGTGTGTGTGTGTGTGTGTGTGTGTGTGTGTGTGCGTGAATGCTTGTGTAGATGTATATGTTTGTGACGTTTTATTTATGTGTAAGTCTCTCTCTCTCTCTCTCTCTCTCTCTCTCTCTCTCTCTCTCTCTCTCTCTCTCTCTCTCTCTCTCCTGAATAGAACACTCAACTAAAATTAATTCCCTCATTCCTTTGTACGTTTCAAAGGACAGATAAAAACAATCCTATATTGCGTAAAAAAATCCCTTTTTTGGATTGAGTTTGGAGAGAGAAAAAAAAATATTGACATTTGGAATTTATTTTATTTTTTATCTCCGTGGGATTTAGTGCGTTTGGGCAAGACGCGAGCACAGGTGGGCCTTTAATTGGATCTTTTAGTGTTGTGCTTTTGTTCTTCCTAACCTATCCTATCCATCTAACCCAACCCTCCTAACCTAACCTAGCCCCATCTAACCTAGCTAACTCAACCCATCTAACCTAACCTAACCTGTGAGGGAGATTTTTGGAATTTTAAACGTATTTTGACGGGTTTTTTCTCCATATTAAAAGTATTGTTTACATTATGTGATCCCCCCCCCATACTATGTGATGACAGACCAACGTTAATTTAGATCTAGGAACCAGAAGTTAATGCCAGATATTCCCAAGTGTTCAGGGAATTGTGTCCATGGCTGTACGTTTGTTTATTTACAAGGGCATCAACAAAAACAACAACAACAAAACAACAACAACAACAACGATTAGAGAAGAAACATTACCCATAAATCCCTTAGTGGTAATTGGTGAGGGGAGGGAGAGAGGAGAATGGAGATTAGTGTTGTTTTGAAAATGTTGGGAAATTGTAGTGGTGATAAAAACCATTGACTAATGAGGTGTCGTTTGGTCAGTTACATGTACCCTCTCTACACCTCCCTACAACACACCACCCGTCTGTAAACACCTCCCTACACCTCTCAACACATCCCTACACCTCCTTACACCTCTAACACATCCCTACACCTCTCACACCTCCCTTCTCCTCCTCCTTTACCTCCTCTCCTACCTTATCTCCCCCATCCCTCATCTTCCCCCCCATCCCTCATCCCCCCATCCCTCATCTTCCCCCAACCCCCCCCCATCCTCATCTTCCCCTCCATCCCTCATCCCCCATCCTCATCCCCCCTCCATCCCTCATCCCCCCACCCCTCATCTTCCTCCATCCCCATCCCCCTCCTCCCTCATCCCCCCATCCCTCATCTTCCCCCTCCATCCCTCATCCCCCATCCCTCATCTTCCCCCCATCCTCACCCCCCCCCCTGCCGATCCTCTTCCCGCCCTACTGAAGACAAACACAAACTTTCACTTTCTGGTATTGAAGCATTTTAAGGTCACACTGAATGTCGAAAACAATAAAAACAAAAAACAAAGCAATTATGTCGTTTTGTTTTATTTATCTTTTCTTTATTTTTTGTTGTTTATCTCTCTCTCTCTCTCTCTCTCTCTCTCTCTCTCTCTCTCTCTCTCTCTCTCTCTCTCTCTCTCTCTCTCTCTCTCTCTCTCTCGTTCTCTTCGTTTCTTCGTCTGTCTCTTTATTTGTTGCATTTGTCTCCTGTTTATTCATTCTTATCCTATATCGCTTTTATTCACATACACACACACACACACACACACACACAAACGATCATTAATATTGTGCAGACATTCGACAGGTCACTGGGAAAGCTATTACGTCGTCAACCAGCGAGTGATAGAAAGGCCATTTACCTCTACCAAAAAAAAAAATGTGGTGATTGGTTTATGCTGCACGTGACGTCATGAGCGAGGAAAGAATAAATGTGGTGATTGGTTTATGCTGCACGTGACGCCATCGGTGAAAAAAGAATTGATTTTATTGATTGGTTTATGCTCACGTAACGTCATGAGAGAGGAAAGAAAAGCTGTGGTGATTGGTTTATGCTGTACATGACGTCATCAGGTTATGGCGGCTGCAGATGAGTCAATTTTCGTATTAGTGATAAATTGGGAGAAACTTTTTATTTATTTGATTAAATAAATAATTTCTAACTTTGATCAAAGGCACAGCAAGTCAAATGGTGAATATCGTCTCCAAATATCAGGGACTACAATATAATAATGGTTGCCCTCGTGTAACGAGGATGGCCACCCAAGGGCCACCTAGGCGTGAATTTGTTTAAATGTAGAAGCTGTCGCCAACACCTGAGTTAACGAGTTAAAAACATAAGAATGGAGAAACTGCAGCTGGCCTATTGGCCCATACTGGGCAGTCCGTTTACACCCAACCCTTTGCTCATATATCCATCCAACTATATCAAGAAATAGTCCGAGAAGACCGGACAACTCGCCAACTGCACTGGCTAACCATTACCCCGGAACACGATCCGCAAATCTATTAACATCCAGGTTCCCAGTACTGCTGGGTAGACAGAGGCAAATGGCTAAGAAACTTGCCCATGTTTCACCTGCCTGGGGATCGAATCCGGGTCCGCTCGCTAGCGAGGCAGGCGTGCTGACCATTACACTACATATCTGTACACACACACACACAACACAGTCACACACACACACGATCACACACACACAGTCACACACACACACACAGTCACACACACACACAGTCACACACACACACACACACACAGTCACACACACACACACACACACACACACACACACACACACACACACACACACACACACACACACACACACACACACACACACACACACACACACACACACACACACACACACACACACACACACACACACACACACACACACACACACACACACACACACACACACACACACACACACACACACACACACACACACACACACACACACACACACACACACACACACACACACACACACACACACACACACACACACACACACACAAGTAGCTCATTCCATTCTCTGGTCTAAGTCGTGTGGTTTTTCCCCTGTATCGATTCCGATAATGGAAGTGTTCTCTCTACCCACCCCTTCACACCCCGTCCTCCCTCACCCCGCCCTTCTTCCTTCTACCTGATACTTTGATCTCCTTTCCCTTATTTTCTCTCTAATACTCTTCCTCCCCTCCTCCTCTCCCTGTTCTTAATCCTTCCATGACTACTACTCTCTCTCTCTCTCTCTCTCTCTCTCTCTCTCTCTCCTCCTCTCTCTCTCTCTCTCTCTCTCTCTCTCTCCTCCCTCTCTCTCTTCTGAAACACCCTCTCACCCCTTCCCTCTTCCTCTCCTCCCTCTCCCTCTTCTGAAACACCCTCTCACCCCTCCCCTCTCCCTCCCTCTCTCCCCCGCCATAAACAGAGAGACGCATCCTGCTGTCTCTCCACGTCACTATAAAGGAATAAAATTTGGTCGCGAAATAAAAAGGACGATTCATTTGGTCACTTGTTTTCGGGGTTTTTTTTCTGTGTTTTTGTTATTTTCGACGTTTTTTGATGTTTTCCTGTTTTTGGTAATTGACATAAAATGGACAAGCAATGGGATTTTTATTTATTTATGTGTGTGTGTGTGTGTGTGTGTGTGTGTGTGTGTGTGTGTGTGTGTGTGTGTGTGTGTGTGTGAAGATAGGGGGAAAGTTCGCTTTTTCCTCCTCTCCTCCTCCTCTCTCTCTTCCCTCTTCTTCCCTCCTCTTT